GCAGCAATACTACTATATTTAGATCCATACCTTTATTCCAGCTTAGAGTACTTCAATGTAACTTCAAACGGAAACAACAACAGCCTGACAGGTGTTCACTGCTTTGTATGATGTTTCCTACGCACGCTGGGATATTATCGTCCCACTCTAGCACCACTCTGTAGACAGCACCTTGTAGGAAGTACCAAGGGGGACGCCAGATTGCGGACAACAAGTGGGGGCGCGTGCAATTCAAATCATGTAATAAGTGGGGAGATACTGTCTCACTGTGATTTAAAGAGACTCGGTGGGAAAATAGTACCCCAAAGGGCGTTAGAGGGTTAAATCACTTGAAAAAGTGTCCAGTTTCTGGTTATACGCCAGGAGCAGGAATTGCCTCAGGGACAAATTGATCATTCTGATACAAACTAACAGAAACATCTCACTGGAAAGCCCTGAAGACATAGGTAGAAGCTTCAGCTATTTCTATAACTTGTGATCGATCGCAAACCAAAATTCCAAAGGGCAATCTATGAGTACGAGGTTCTTCCGAGATACATTATTGAGCTGACCTTTTGCAACTGATGCTTCATAATTTCTTGTCTGCAAAAGTAAAACTAAAGTATCACTTGCAGTTCAACATCTGAATTTCATTTTGCCGTCAAGGCTCAATTGTGTTTCCCGATCAGATGGACAGTTAAGTGTTATATTATCATTCCGGATATCCAAATTAGCAGATATCCTATTTCTCGCAATTTGGAGCGGATATCGTTTACCTAGTATAAATAGCCTCATCCCAGACATTGTCTACAGTTGATTAAATGGCAAATTATCAATTCATGGCAAATTGCAAATGACCGGTATTGGTTGCTATAGCTAGTTGCAGTGCTGGGTTTCCTTGAATCGTAACTATATATATTCAGCGTGTATCATAGCATAGTTTCGGATTTTACAAACATGTCGCACATTTGAGGGGACATTTTCACGACTATTTTAAAACTGAAGGAGTCGAACTTTCTCCAACGACTGTTGAACATCACTTAGTACCCCAATGAAACATTGACAGTAAAGTAACCAGTTGAAGCATCACGTAAGGGAGCCCATTGGAAAGGATTAACTTATTCAGACATTCACGAACTGATTAGTGGTAACACACATACATGTATGTTTCAATATCTGTCTACTACACTACGTTTTGATCAGCACGATAGTCTTTTTCAACTAAAATGACAATTAAAGACAGTATATTTTTGATTACTCGTTTGTTTTATGAGAAAGTAATGTAAGACATCACAATAATATAAAAAGGGTCTTTGAACATTCTCTGTACTCATTTCGCTACTTGTTTTTCTGTTCTCAACTGTTGCTGATCTCTCAATAAAAGTTAGTCTACAAAAGTTACTGAAGTATTTCACTAACATCATTTGGCGATTATAAGAGAAATAGGAACAAAAGTTTTCAAACTTATGCAATTGGGTATCGCTACTGAAACCTGTGAACGAGTTCCGAGGCCGGAAAGACCTCTCAAGTTCCTGTCCCAAGTTCATCCTAGTGGCCGGTAAGACCACATATGTTCCAGTACCTTTTTGGAGAAAACTTTTGCATCCAGAACAACCAGAAAACAGAACGAATGGGTCCCTTGGCGACATCGATGCTGATCACGTCATTGTGAGTAGATTTAGAAAGTTTATTAAGAAGTACGAAGATTTTTATTGTAGAAATTGAAAAAAAAATATAAAAAGATTTTGATATTAATTGATATTGTACAAAGAAGAGATACCATTTGGAGAAAAAGACGACTTATTTGTGAAAATATTTGATTTTTGCTAGATTTTTGCTTGTTAGTATTTAAGATTGTATTTTTATGCCTCTTGTTAGACCATTTACTAGAGAGAGTTCATACTCCCCTTACACTTATCGACGTTCAAGTTCTTGTTCTAGTGATCCTCCTCTTGACTCAAATATTTCAAATTCTGAAACCACAATGGCACAACCGAATGGTAATGAACGTTACAGAATGCTTGAACTACGATTCAGAAGTCTACTTATTGAACATTTACAAAACATTTATAAAAAGGAACGATTATTACCATTTGATTCCATTCATTTATTCGAAATCTATGACCTCTCTTAAATGTCTATTATTTGTTTACAAGATGAAATTATATTTGTAATTAAGTTTGCCATTTTGAATATTAAGGAATTTACATTGTATAAATTATTTGCGATTTCTAATCATCATGAACTTATTACTCTGCCAAGTGAGTATTTATTAAGTTATGGAAAGAATTATTATTGTTCTAACATTATTAAACTTAGTAATCAACTGTATGTTTGTAAAAGTACTTTCCAGTCTCCTTGTCAACCACAGATGATCGAAATGTGTGAGTCTGAAAGCATAACAAAACAAACTACACGAGAATATTAGAATTGAATAAAAATAATTATATAATTGATACTAATCAACTAACAAATATAAAAGACTGTAAAGGTACTTCTTTTATACATTATGCGACACATATTATTTTAGAATGTAATACTTTAGTTAATCATAAAACTTTAGAATTTGATTCCACATTTCAGATTCGCCAACTAGGTCAACAAATAAGAAGAAACTTGTGTATCATAGTAAATAGTTTTACTGATTAAAGTGTATTTATAAGTTGTAATAAGTTTTATTTTCGTGAACATCATAAGTTACAGGTGGCTTCTGACGCTGCATCATTTCTAATTTCGTTTTATAATACTCTTGTTGTAAAATACGTCTTTCGTACTGCTGTAATACCACTAGACGTTGCAGTTCTTTTGTAGTTAACCCTTTGGTTTCCTCAGTTTCGTATTTCTCTGTTGCTGATTTTCCTTTTGGTGGCAATGTCTTCTGAATTGCTGCCGCTGTGATAAACTGTTTGCTCACTGCGCTCGGTGTATAGTTCACTTCCTTCTTCTTGAACACTACCAACCTGAATAGCACCTCTAATTTTCCCAACTGTAGGATTACAGTCACCTTCCATAGCTTTCAGCAACTTTCTTTCCCAATCTAATAATTTAATTGCTGCAGGTCGTTGCCATTATTTTCTATAGTTTCCTCATCATTTGAGGATGACATGCTTATTAATTTGATCAAAACCTGTATCCAGTAAAAATACGGAACGGTCTGTGTAAGTTCTGGACCTTTATTCTTGAGTTTGAGGGAGTAGAAATTGTGAGAGAAAGTGGCAAAAAGTGGGCGTGGCCAAGAAATGCAGTATTCTTGAAATCATTTCTACCGAAAAGTGATGGAAATGAATTTACTTTAGGGAGTCGCGATTTCTCTCAGTACCGACCAAGAGAAACTGGAAAAATTAGTAGACAATAGCGCTATATAACCTAAAAATTGACGTGTTTGACATTGATATTCTCGTTCCTGCTAGTCATATTGCAAAAAATGGTTAATTTCAATGAATTGAAGGAACGATATTACTAACGAGGATGTAGAGGGGGCAGTTGAGGAATGGGAGATTGGGAGAGATATTCTTGGGAACAGAGATCCTTTCATAATATCGAATCGAAAATTTGTACAGATGTTTATGTGGACCAAAGATTTGGTGTATGAATTGCTGGAGATATTGATTCCATTGATACAACCACCCCCACGAGTTTCTGCAGTCATTCTAAAACAGTATCCTTTAATCTATGATTGAATTTTTCCTGGTGCATTTGGGGGTGCTCCCGGAGAAATTGATTTTGTCCTTTTATGAATCTTTTTAAGTTTTCGACTCTATAGATAAAATTTCAAGGAGGAAATCTTGACCAAAATCTTTGGTTAGTTTTTGACTGTCAAAATTATCCCCATTTTGATTGGTTTAAAATGTTTACTCAAACCTGGCAACAACGTGTCTTGATTTCCTTTCTCCTTTCTATCGAGTCTTTTCAAGAATATAGTATTTTCGAATCGATAGAAAACCGGGGGATTAGAAAAAGAGAGGGAGTGTGATTTTCTATTAAAGTTAAGGATAGGGGCACTGGAGTACCTTTGCAGAGTGAACGAACTCCCACGTCAACTACAAGCTGGAACAAGTCGGGACATGTCGCTCAAGATACAAATACCAGTCAACCTTTTACTTCTTCTTGGAGGATATCCTCGCGAGTAGAAGGTAATCATTATGGATATGAGAACAAGGATATGCTTACACTTCTACCTTTTTCTCCGAAGCAAGACCTTATACTTTTACCTTATGCTTCCCTTTTATGAATACGGCTCAATATGTTGGCGCAACACGCTATGCAGGAATGAAGAAAATAAAAATCAATAATAATAATAATAATAATAAGTTTATTCACGTAACATACAAATATAACTAAAACTAACGTATGTATACGCAAATAAACTTTACACAAATATACACATACATATATACACATATGCATATATACATATGCACATATATACACATACATTCATATTAATAAACACATAAATAGATGCACATACACATATATACGAGTACATACACACATGCATATATATATACGCATATACACATACTAACCTGTACATGCATATATACATATGTATGCATTTCTATCTGGGAGACAGATTACGAAAAGTATACTGTCATTAATAATTGTAATTGTATTTGTATTCGAAAAAAAAAACGTATTTGTGGTTTGATTTGGCCAGACAATGGAGCCCTATGAACACTAAAAACCTAGGAAGAGTTTCAGGAGTCACATCACAATGTTACTTATTTTATGCAGGCTGTATAGTAATAGGCATGTTACTTCTCGGTGTCGATACGGTACTATTAAGTCATTGGCTGTTGCAAAAGACAACGAATGATAGAACTTCATTCTCTCTATTTAACGTTAATTGTATATTTTTCATTTGAGTTCAGTGCTATTTTTAACATACACAACTTCTTAGTGTGTGGCACAAGTGGCAACCTTGTTGAAAACCTCTAACGCCTGTTTTCTTGACGCCTGAGCTCGTTCTTTAATACATACGGCGACTTCATGCCCAAGGTACTTTTCAGATGCGGCATTTATTTCTTGGATTCCTCGTTCAATTATGCCGTTGATCGGTTGAACGTCATGGGACACTTGGGCACCCACCTAAAAAAAAACAGAAGATAGTTATGTCAAATATAGCTATTTTCTGATCATTCTGTCATCCGACGGTCTAAATGCATAAGATCCCGGATTCTGTCGATATTTTCATCGGTCCTCGAAGATAAAGGCCTTCCGCTTCGTGGTTCATCTTCAGTCGACTGTCCTCCTTCTAAAAATGCTTTAAACCACCGAAAAACCTGGGCTTTTGACAAAACATTATCCCCGTACGTGAGCTGAAGTTCAGCAAGAATTTTCTTTGCACTGTGCCCAAGTCTAAAGCAAAACCTGATAGCACACCGTTCAGAACAGGATAGAATAGACTGTTTCACAAAACAAATCGCTACAAATGACTTTGGCGAGTTCAAACTTGTACTGAATGCGGGTCACATGTTGTACCCTGTCTCCCCTCCAATCCCGGAGCGTCCAGTGTAGCCAGATGGAACGCCGCGCTTCCAGTCCTCAAAACTACTTCTAGTGCAATTCTCAATGTAGTACAAAGGAATAAAAAAGAGGTAAGTTTTTTCAGAAACATTGATGGCGTCTTACATTTCACCTCAGCCGTCGATTTACAGCATTTGAATGAAAGATGTGTGCGTTGGTTAGATATAGCCGATATGAAATGTGTTCAGGAAGCTGCAACATCGTCTGGGCTTCAATTTACTCTAAAATGTTTCCATCAGTTACAGAAACTAGTACTGTTTTCAATATATTTAACACTACCCATAAATGATATGAAAAGGTTTTAGTATTAGTATAGTTTGTTCTTTGTTTTGTTGCACTTTTTAGACGTTTGTAGTTTTATTGTAGCCGTGCTTATCATACTGCGTACACTTTTAAAATCAGAAATGCGTTCATAAAAGCTGAAGGCGTGGCTGATGATATTACGAAGCAAATCTCATAATTTCCAAGCCTGCTAGGGAAGTTCTGTTTTTCAAAATACCTAAAGTTTGACACAGTCAATACATGACATTATGGTATTTTGGAATTAGAATTAAAAGCCCTGTTCACCTGACGAAATTCCAATATGGCGACCATAAGATAAAATACAGCTGATAATTGAGGACAAGAAACAAAAGGTCATATTGAACTTCTAATTATGCCATCGTGCAGAGGAAAAAAAGCGGTACTGTTGATGTGTCTTTTATTTTGAAATCCTATATCACATAACGTCAGGTAAAGAAAAAAACATGTTGGGAAACTTTAGATTTTAGAAGTTTTTCAAGTGTCACTTTCATAGTTACATTATTGAGCAGCTCTACCCCCACACAGTGACTTTGTATCTCTTACTGTTTCCCAACGGTGAGAGTCGAAATTGAAACACCCGGTATACGCTGGTAAATTAAAAACTCAAATATATTAATGAACAAAATATTTGGAAAATGAAAAGCCAAAAGTTCACAAGGTTAATAACACTTTTAGATGTACAATACGTAGATTATTTTTCAATCACAAACGTAGTGCCATTGAGGTCAATATAAATTAGCTCCTCTATATTTGCTTATATTTTTCAAGTCCTTGGTGTAAATATAAATAGTCCGGAATCTGTTGGGAATTTTTATTTGTTATTTAGTTAATTCTGAAGAACTACTGAAATGCCTTTTTTATGCGGTGGTGAATTGTTTGATGATTCAATTTACCAATGCAAAAGAGAAGTCGTTCCAATGGTTCTTTATGAATAACTGAGTAAGTGACACTTACGAACTATTTACACCAAGGATTTGAGAGATATAGCAAAAATGGAGGAGCTAATTCACAATGAACTAGCTGTCGATCCATCTGTGTTTGTTCTTCAACCAAGAGAATGACCTGTCAAAGAAACGTTTTTGAAGATGATCTATTAACACCACATTTGGATGAGTGCAATCTCTGAGAAACTTACTTTTCGTACGCAGCTGGCCAACAGGACAATATTCAACCTGTTGCACTCTTCTAGCCCATTGGTGGTGTTCTGAACAGTCCTGATCACATCCTCAAGTTGTTCTATCCATGGCGGGATGACTTGTTCTACGTGACCAATATTGTCGTTCACGCAACCCAATGTGCCATTCACGAGGCTTACGGCTACAGCCACAGTGTCATTGCCTTCAGACTCCACGCAGTCGATGAGTTTCTTACCAGCGTCGCTTGTTTCTGAAATAATTGATGAGCTTGTTCCGCTTTTAGTCTTGTAGTTATTGCTTAGTAGCATTCTGACAATTGAAGAGCGGTGAGTAGGATACGGGGAGATACATCACAGGCGCAGCGGTGCGTTACCCGACCTGACAGACTTACAAACTGATACTACGGACCGCTCTGATAACTAACGATAACACTACAGGAAGACAACATAAACTAGTCATCTGGTTTTCGTTTATCCGACCACAGACTGTTAACCATGGACATCTGCTTCGTGCTATTTGGAAACTCCTCAGCATGTTCTAGGCCTGATCTCTGGTAGCCAACGTACAAAAGCTGAGCAACTGCCTTTTATCCAGAGTATGAGGTATATCTATTTAAGACAGTACAAACAGAAAGGTGTGAACTGTATCCCAGTTCGCATTGTCAGCTGGGTCACCACTGTGACCGTCAGATGCTGCCGATTCTGGTGCTATACTAATAGCCTGCTGTTTTCACTCTCGCACCGGTTGATTCTGGAAAGGCACTTTGTGCTGTCTGAATACAACAATATATATCATTTTGGGCGCTTAGGGGCGGAAAGTGGGCATCCTCTATTTTAAGATATCACTGCGCAAAACCAGCAAATTGCCAGATTGCGTGTGGTATGCCTTTCCAAAAAGTCGTTCAGCCTCCCCTAGAGCGATAAGCGAGCATGCTGTTATCTGTTGTTTTGGGTGTATCAGACACGTCCCCAATAAGGTCAACCGACGTTAAGAATGCCACAACCCATCCAAAACTGTTGACGCAACACATCGGTTGCTATACATGAAAATCTCATGTGATAAGTTCTCTGACTTGAGTTTATTACTGCATCTGATTTGAAGACGCTTTTTGGGAGCTAACTTTCGTAAAGTGACAGTTATTTGCGATTGAAAAACCAGGCAGAAGAATAAGAAAAAGCATTGTAAGATTAATTCTATCCTTACGGTTTTTGAGTTTGTTCAAGTCTTCGTTCAGATCATCCTTCAAGTTGGTGAGCAGATTATTTGTCGCATTGACTATGATATGAGCAAGAATCTGAAGTTTTTGTTCTGATTCCACAACTCTTGCCTTGAAGTTGGCAAGTCCACGCAAAATTGCATTCTCTGTAGCGTTGACAATTCGAATTACGGGGTCAAGCAGTCCTGTCAGCTCTTCTAGCTCAACATTGTTCACATCAGCCTGAATCTGAAACATTGACAGAGCGTAGTACTATCAGTAGGGATTGAAAGTGCATCACTTTGGAAATGATATCAGGGTTATTGCATAAAGTATAGCCATCTTATATTAATAAGCATAATCACACCGCTTTGGAAGCTATAAGTTTTATTAAGGTGCCAGAGTTAATACAGAAGATTTAAAGACATACGATTATTCAGTCGAAATTGTGTTTTGGAAGAGAGTTGCTGGTGATGTATATTCCAAAAGATCCAAGGTGCCCAATTCGTAGGGAGGGAGAAATTTCTCGTGAACTATTTTTCAATGTATCAAAAATGTTAACTTAGGAAAATTGTTATGCCAAAATAGGCAGCTAGTAAGGTTTTTTGAAAGTTGATTTCACAAAAGTACTTATTTGTCTGTATAACTTAATTCTAAAGGCCCTCTCTCACGATACGAAATTTTGTGCTAAAGCTCGAACAATGATAGTGTCAGACAACATTTAGTCCATATACGTATAGAAAGTTTTTATGCAGACCATGAATATTTATTGATCTTCTGAAAAACTGGTGCTACTGATGGATTATTGAATGAAGTCATACGACATGAGATTTATAGTTTTTGTGCAACTGAACATGAACATTTCTGGATTTTGTTTACAACGTTTTTGATCTGCCGGTGAAAGTGAACATCGCACGGTTGAGAAATTGCAGTGCATTTCGGAGTGTTCCAATTCTTGCATTCGCATTCGGGCATTTTTGAAACTTGGACAAGTAGTGAGACTGACCCTTTCGGGAGATATATTATTATTTAACATCGGGTTTTTTTTGGTGCAAGCTGTTCAAGGGGTATTTAAAACGTGGACGCATCAAATGGGTACACCAATTTTTGTGGAAAAACTTTTTATTCGACAACAAAGACTGAGAAAGTGTGTTTTTGGGATTCAATTGACAATGTTGGCAGGAACGAGAAAACTCTTCGCTTATGGTTTTTAGGTATTTATGAGACCGAAAAAATGAGACTACATGTAAAGACAAGACAATAGTGAAAAAGTTATGGCCGAAGACCGAGGCAAAATGCAGGCTTTGACACTTGTTGCTAATGGGACGATACTTTCACGCAGCTACTTGAAATTCGTTAAGTCCGTACTTCCAAATAACCACAACAAAATTGTCGTCGATTGGTCAAGTCGTTTTTGAGGATTTCTAATTGTTTATTCCAAAACACCTTCCTTCCGGCCATCACTACTAGTTTACTGAGCAACTGCAACCTTATATTGCGTCCCAAAAAATGGATTTTCTCATTCTATGTTGTCGAACAAAGAGTGTTCCCGCAGAAATTGGTGTACCCATTATATGCGTCCATGTTTTAAATTCCTCCGTGAATAACTTAAATCAATGAAACCAGACTTTACACTTATTCCGCAAACCAGGGGTAATTTCGTCTAATATGATTAGACTATACAGGGTGGCCCATCCATGTGTGGACGGAATATTACTCATAAACAAATATATTTTGGAAAAATATATTAATGGGATGTTATATATTACACTTGAGGGCACATTTCTAAAATATAGGCCATTATACAGGGTGTCCCAATTTCGCCCTATATATCAAAGTTGTGATTTTTCAAATGGAATGCCTCAAAGTTTATTGCATATTTGGAAACCAATTCAAAAGAAGAATATCAAGGAATATCTATTTATGACATGTTATACACAACATTTGAGGGCACATTTATAAAATATTGGCAATGATACAGGGTGTCCCAATTTTGACCTATATATCAAAGTTGTGATTTTTTAAATGAAATGGCTCAAACTTTATTTCATATTTTGATAAACCAATTCAAAAGAAGAAGATTGATATAACATACTATGGGGTTTTGGTAATTAGCTACTGAGATGCAAGGTGTTTTGTCCAGTAAACCCTTCCACTTCGGCAACCCCTCAATCTGCCATTTTAACATTTGGAGTGCTGATTTTGTATGAAACAAACTTAGACAACTCAGCTTTTATCTTATTTGTTACTTTTTCGAATTTTCATTATTGCGAATTGTACTTTTACTCAAAAATTTCAAATGCATCACCCTGTATATTTGTGCAATTTTAGATTGAATTTTATATAACCTTTTTTTGTATAAGGTTTGATTCAGATAAAAACACTAGATTTTGAGTTACTAAGCTTTTAATAGAACAACACAGCAAAATTAAGGAAGAAAATCAGATCATCAATGGAAACAAAAGACAAACAGTGGGCTAGCTCCATATTGCCACTAAGAGTACAGATCTGACGTGAAAACTGATAACAATCAGAACAGGATAAATCAGCTTCAAGTGTTATGTTCAGAAAAGCATCCTTAATCCTTTCCTTCATATTTTCCGGGGTAGATGGTGGATATCTATAAACCTCTTGCTTAACGTAACCCCATAGAAAAGAGCCCATCGGTGTCATATCTGGTGATCTAGGAAGTCAAGATATATGCCCGTCACGACCGGTCCAACGATTGTTATGGATTGTTTTGGAAATCTATTTGCCTAACGCAGTAAGGGTTTTCCGTCGCATAATAGTGCATGTTATGCCTGTTGACAACACCTATGCTGTTAAAGGTTGCCTCATCGCTAAAAAGAATCTTATCCAGGAAAGGACTGTCTTCACTCACGTTATGTAGCATTATTCTCCTAAACTCCATTCGAGCTGCGAAATCCTGAGAACGAAGGCCTTGATGCAAGCATATTTGGTATGGATGGTACCTATGCTTGTGAATAATCCTTTGGACAGGAGTTCTGCATATATCTGTTTCTGCTACAATTTGCCATGCACTTAAATGGGGATTTTCCTGCAACTTTAATAGAACCTCCAACTGATTCGCCTCATTGGTGATACTTGGATTATTTATACATTTTTTACTATATTCCACTGCTCCACATTATTCAAAACGTTCTCGTAGTGTGTAAAACGTTTCCGGCCTTGGACGTCGCATACTAGGGTACCGTTGCTCAAATGCGAGATGCTAGGAGAATATTTTTTTGGGTTTCGCCCAAATTGAACACCATATTCACAATTTTTCCTTTAGCAAAAGTCATTTTCAAACAGGTTTTTATTATAATGTTCACAAAGCTAATTTTTACAGTTTGTATCTAATCAACAATTTATTTGTTTCCAAGGATGATGCGATATTTTAGGGAATTAAGCCGTTCCATAAAAGACGTGCTAATAACCGAAAAAATAGCCGTAAAAACCCTTATGTGTCTAGTATCAAAAAAGCTTATAAAAAATTGAATCTAGAATTTTGATAAAAACTACAATTTGCGTTCTTGACCACCCTGTATGAGCAAAAACTAAAATTCGAAAAAGTAACAAATAAGATAAAAGCTCAGGTGTGTAAGTTTTCTTCATACACAATTCAGCACTCCAAATTCCAAGATGGCGGACTGAGGGGTTGCCGAAGTGGGGGGTTTTTCTAGACAACACACATTACATCTCAGTAGCTAATTACCAAAACCCCATAGTATGTCATATCAGTATTCTTCTTTTGAATTGGTTTTCCAAATATGCAATAAACTTTGAGGCATTCCATTTGGAAAATCACAACTTTGATATATAGGGCGAAATTGGGACACCCTGTATAATGGCCTATATTTTAGAAATGTGCCCTCAAATGTAACATATAACATCCCATTAATATATTTTTCCAAAATATATTTGTTTATGAATAATATTCGGTCCACACATGGATGAGCCACCCTGTATACGAAACGACCATAGAGCTGCCGTAGAATCGGTGACATGAAAAGTGTAAGGTCTTTTTGAAAGATTGAAAGTCTATTATTTTTAAGATAATTATGTAAATGGTATTAATATCGTTTTTTTTTTCCAGGTAAGATGAGCGTTGCTGTAAGCTTTGAAGTCGCCGTTGGTGAGTTATTCTGTAATATAATTCATCAGAATGCAATTGTAAATTGTGTGTATGGAAATAAAGGTTTTTTATCTGGTTTTGAAAAACAGTCAAAGAACGGATCAGACTAACGTTTTATAAAAGGTCATATTTTTTTATTCCCTCTATATGATGCCTTCGAGGTTATTGATGTTTGGTACAAATTATAGAAATTATTGGGAAATCAAAGTACTGGACGGGTTTTAGTTTAGCACTAGACTGAACGTTTTAAATAGTTTCCATCTTGGCGTCTCCTATACATAGCTTCTTTATCCTGACAATAAGAAATTTCAATAGCAGGATCACCCAACAAACCCAAATTACAATGAAAGGTGACAAAAGGTAAAAGTAGCCTACCTGTACTACAAGAAGAGTACACAACACAGCTACAATCTTAGCGCCCATCATTGTTGATCGAAATATTAAAGCGAAGTAACAACTATACTCAGACGTGAGTCGCTGATATTTATTCAAGTAGAATGGGCTTTTCAATGACAAAATCTCACTATCGATGAATGCAAACACTCCAAAATTTAAAAAAAAATAGTAATACTAATACGGACCACTCATCCTTTGTTTTATCGAAATCAGGTCTACAATGTACGAGACAAGGAATATACAGAGTAAATGAGTATCGTCAGCATTTCTCATTCAAAATGATCTGAACGAAATATCCTTGAATTTAACATTTTTTATCCAGTAAGCAGGATCTCATTCATATTTTGTTGCGTTTATCTTAGAACTCAGACTTCCCACTCTACCAAAGGGTAAAGCAGAATAAACATGGATCAAATGCCCCTGGTGATGAACATTTTTTTAAATGACCCACTTTGCCTCCCCCGCCCTCTCTTCCTACTCCCCTTTCCTTATATGAGAGATTTTAATATTTTTTCATGCTGTTCTACTATAGCGAAAATTAAAAATATACATATGTTGTAGAGCATAGTAAGGGACATTTATAAAAAAAAAAATGTGATGGCGTCTCTTGAAACACGTGAAAAATTAATTTCTGTAAGTTTTTAATTTGGAATATTTCGATATGAAGCCTTAAAAATTATATTTTTTTTTAAATTTAATTACTTTAAAAAAAATATTTTTTGGAGAAGGTGATTCCATGGTAAAAATACCAACCTAACTTGCTAGAGGGGCATTTCACCCGCTATGCTCTTTTAAAAAAGTACCATCTTACCGCTGGCCAAATGTAAAATGGAACCAGTTAATGGTTTTTTGGGGGACCAAATCCCCCTCCTGCTTAGTATATACAGTAGTGATCCGACGTAAATGTTTCGTTGATAGAGATTCAGTTACTGGTCTTCTAGTGATGGGCTGGTCAAGAATTGTAAATTTATTCCAACTACTGGGATGAATTTCAAAAGCCTAGCTTGAATATATTATCAACAATCAAATATTCTTTCTGATAGTAGAAGAAAGTCACGACCGACCCAACAGCCTTGTGTAGTATGTTAGATATCCATTTACTCCGTAATATAGCAACAACAATAATCAGTCGTATATTGGAATGTGAGTTTGAGAAAACTACACACAATTTAAGGTACAAGAGACTTAATGAAAAAATATATCAAATAGTATCTTTGTATAATAAATACAATTAACTCTTATGAATACTTGATATGAGTTTAATAATATAGCGTCTTCCTATTAAACGTGTTTATTTTAACAGGTTCTTCTTGCAACTATCTGTATTTCGGCTCTGTGCCTACGGCCTGACCGTTGAGATTACGTTCCCTATCTACAGCTCCGGAGTCAGTATGTGTGCGTCTCTAGTCCCCCTTACCTTCGTCCTCCTCCCCTTTCTGTACGCCCATGCTCCTTGGAGCGATGCGCGCGCTGGCTAGTGGCGAGCGATTTCCCGCTCGCCCTTCAGTACGCTTTTATCTATCGCACGGATAGGGTGTGTGCGTGTGCGTATGTGTAACATCGCGAGTTAAACGTTGTGTAACGTTCGAGAGAATAATAGTATAAATGCAAAGGTAAGAGACAAAAACCTTAGTTTGACAGTTTAGTGTAGATGGCTACCATTTGATATAAAATTGTCACGGTCTCGGATCACTCGGTCCAGACGTGAGACTCCCTTCTAATGCATCTTGGGCAAATTCGCTAGAGCATAATATGGGCACTTGTGTGCAAGCGCACAATGCCCATTCATAGGAAAATTGAAGGGAGTCCTGCAGCCGGATCCATCTACACAATGTTTCGGCCCGACCGGCCCGTCAAGTCGGCCCGACCAGCTGCAGACTTCGGCCCGACCGGCTGCAGACTTCGGCCCGACCGGCTGCAGACTTCGGCCCGACCGGCCGCTAAATTCGGCCCGACCGGCTGCGAATTTTGGCCCGACCGGCCGCTACGTTCGGTCCGACCGGCTGCAAATTTTGGCCCGACCGGCTGCAGAATTTGGCCCGAACGGCTGCAGATTTCGGCCCGACCGGCTGCATTTTTGGCCCGACCGACTAACCCAGAAGCAACATCGGTGGGAGAGAAAACCTACCGAAATATAAAATTGAGGCTTCTCGACTGGAACCTCTGTAGAGCATTGATCATGAGCCCACGGCAGGTAGCGTGTCAGTTACGAGGATCTATGGCTCAAGCGGAGCTCTTTAATAAGGCGGTGGAACCACTTAAACATACTATGCGTTCCAGAGAGCTGACGTCGGAGGCCCTTTCAACGGACGGGGAGTCTAATTATACGTCCCGAAGTAAAAGGAGACGGTGTCAATCGTCCAGCTCAGACGACGAGTACCCGGTCAGAACCGAGAAACCAATGAAGAGGAGGCGGCGAGTATTGTCTTCGAGCTCGGAGGAGGATGTCAATGAGACAAGGCTACGCCGCGTGGAAAGCATGGTCGAGAATCTTTACCACTTGGTCTCAGGAAATAAAGAGAACGATGGCAGCGTCATGAATTCGACGTGGCAAGCTCCAACTCCTACAGGTGAAGAGCTGTATGACGCCGACAGTATTGGCACATGTGGCAGCGTAAACGACTGGGACACGTTTTCCCCTGTCACTAGGGAAATCGAGCCTACAGTCCCTAGGGCGGACCCAGTAATCGAGACACAGGGCATGAAATGCCAGCGTTTCGGGGAAGAGACATGGAACAAGGTTCGTTACGTGGACGCTCAGAAAAAACTCCACGCATCACCAGTCTTCAGTACTCTGAAGGTTAACTCATCCTTGTACAACAATGGACATGCAAGCCCAATGACAGATATGTTATCCAAAAGTGACCTGGCCTTCGGGACTATCTCACACGGTCTACTGAAGCAACGGAGAATCATACATGAGGCTCTGAAGGAGGCGGGGAACAAACACCCGGAAGCGGCAGACACTTTGAAAAAGTTTTTGCCGCTAACAGTGAATACAAGACCATCTCGGACGACCTGCTGCAGTTCGTTTGCGGAAAAAGGGCGGAAATCATCGAAAGTCGCAGGAAACTATACGAGCCTAAAAGTAGTTACTATAGGTCCATCGTCAATGAGATTCCTCCGTCAGGTACGCACTTGTGGGATGAAGAGCAGCTGAAAGATGTGGTTAAAATGCATGGAGTGACGAAAATTGCTCCTGTCCGCTGGCAGAGTAATTTGGGAATAGTCGCACTGAGACAGAAGGTGCCTCAAGGAACTTCTCATGAAAAGTATCTGCGTCAAGGTTCATTTAAAAAAAATGAAGAAGGCAGAGTTTAAGCATTCGCGTAAGCCGGGGGCGAAAAGTCATACCAAGCTAGCTCGTAAGGAGCAACCACCTTTAGATAAAAGGCGGAGTTTTTGACAGTTTTCAGGCAGGACAACTCGCCAAATATGTCTCTGCTTGGAAAAGTATGGGAGCCTCACAATCGATTCTCAGTATCCTGAAAGGCTACGTGATCCCTTTCTCAATAAAGCCACCAATAACAGTACTATCCCAACCGATACTAAACAAATTCGAGACACCAGCATCCACACAAATGGATCGAGAAATACAAAACCTCATAAATCAAAAGGTGGTAGTAAAACTGCAAACAAAAACAGGTTTCTTATCAAAGACGTTTTTGACGCCGAAATCGGGGGGCTTGTGGAGACCAGTGTTCAATCTAAAAAGATTGAACAGCTTCATCACGCCCAAGAAGTTCCGCCTTATGAACCATCGCAAACTGCCATTATTTCTCCAGGAAAGAGATTATATGGTAAAAGTCGACCTTTCTCAAGCATATTTCCATTTGCCAATAAAGCAAAAGCATTGGCGTTATCTGGGACTTTATTACCGGCAAAACATCTACGCTATGACAGCACTACCATTTGGCCTAAGCTCCGCTCCACAGGTGTTTGCAAAAGTTACGAACTGGGTGGCGAGCTACTTGAGGAAACAAAACATTCGAGTAATGGTCTATTTGGACGATTTTTTTGATCGCAAACCAGAATCCAGAAGAACTAAAGCGAGAGGTATCCACCCTGATAGATACTCTCATAAAGCTGGGTTTCTGCATCAACCTGGAGAAGTCCGAAATAAGACCTACACAGAAATTGGCATATCTAGGTATTATGTGGAACACCATAAGAAATCAAAAGAGTTTACCGGAGGACAAAATCCACCGTCTGCAAACATCAATCCAAGCTGGAATCAAGAGCAAGACTTGGAGCTGGAAGCAGGTAAAGGCACTGCTAGGGAGAATGGAATTTGCCTCGTTTGTTATCCCATTGGGTCGACTACATTGCAGAAAGATACAAAGAGCAGTCAATCGGATGTCAGAAAACCAACCAAAGAAACTGTTCAATATAGACCTGGACGTATTGCGAGAGCTAAGATGGTGGGAGAAAAATTTAAAAGGGTCATCCATAATCTGCATGAAAGAACCGGAAGTTCATATAATAACCGATGCCTCAAACACGGGCTGGGGAGCCCAAGTAGGAGACACTTTGAGGAAAGGAAACTGGACAGAGCAGCAGGAAAAGTGGCATATCAACAAAAAAGAAATGTTCGTGATCTACTTAGCGCTAAGAAACCACCTAGATCGATTGGCAAACAAAACACTGTTAATTCAGACGGACAACAGGACGGTGGTTTCCTACTTGAGAAATCAAGGAGGAACCAAGTCGGTCACGCTTTTGGCATTGACCAGGAAGATCCTGGAGCTGGCACATCAATACAGTATGTCTCTGAGAATAGAACATATTCCAGGAAACTACAATATTGTGACCGACCACCTATCCAGAGGAAAGGATCTGCCAGACTGGCACTTATCAAGGATAGCTCAGAAGAGGATCTTCGAAAAGTGGGGAACCCCTTGCATCGACCTATTTGCGACTCCAGAATCAGCCGTCGTTACAAGATTTGTAACGCAATTCCCATGCAAGGAGGCAGAATTCGTCAACGCATTTACAAGAACGTGGGAGTACAAGCTAGCGTGGATATTCCCTCCTCCACCCCTAATACCAAGAGTTCTCCAACACCTCAACTATTGTCAGGGAGTTTTCATAATGATAGTCCCCAGGTGGGAAAGGGTATTCTGGCGGCCCCTGCTGAAGAGACGTGCCATCGACCACCCGTTCACCATTCGGAATCTGAAGGCTCACCTGGAAGATCTTCAAACCAACCAGCCTCCTCCAAAGGTAATGGATTTACACCTGGAGGCATGGAAGATACGGGGTGGTCCGATATAGCGAATCACTGGTCAAAGGATGAAAGGAGAATCTTAGAAACATCCTGGCGCAAGTCAACTCTCAAAACGTATGCCGTTGCATGGAAAAGTTGGCAATCGTGGGCGAAGAAAAGAAGAGTTTCAGTTAAAAATCCAAACCCCACGCAGGTGGCTCAATACCTCTGCTTCCTACACAACACAAGAAAATTGGCGCTTAGAACGATCCTATTACATAAATCCACCATTGCGACATTCTCCAATCCACTACATAGTGAAGGAGTTTCCAGTAGCCCAACAGTGAAACAGGTAATTAGAGGTATTGCAAATGCAAATCCTCCAGCAACTAGGCCAAAGATTTGGAACATCGATAAACTTCTATCTTGGATTAATGATAACCATCCAGATACGAATAGTATCTTCAAGTGGCCCGGCATCTATCGCTGCTTTTGCTGCTATCATCGGGAAGGAGAGTCCATGACTTGACACTCCTTCGAATAGATTCTGGTTTCTTTGAACAAACCGAAGAATACATAATTTTCTGGCCACAACATGGATCTAAGACAGACAAGCATAACTACGTCCAGTCAGGCTGGAAACTCCTCAAAAATCGAGAATGCATCTGGGATCTAGTACACTGGACAACCATATATCTAGAAATATCAGAAAAGAGAAGGAACCTCCACTGTCGACCGATTCCTCAACTATTCGTCACAACTCGTGGGAAGATAGGACCGGCATCTCGGTCAGTGATAGCAGGATGGGTCCGCACAGCGTTGAAATCGGCAGGTATAGAAGGAGGAGCCGGCAGTACCCGCTCGGCAGTGGCAACATCCCGCTTCAATGATAACATGCCATTGGATGAGGTTTTGCAGAAAGGAAATTGGCAGGGATCAAGCAATTTCTTCAAACACTACTATAAAAATATCGATAAGGATTTGGTACCTGACAACAGCAACAGAAGACTTATTTCGGATAAATTTGTCCCTATATAAGTATTATCATGGCTGTGAGCCAAGAATGACTGTTACTTTTCTTTTTATGAACTGTTAGAGTTATCATACTATAACCATGTCACAGTACGCTTTCTAACACCGTGGCGCGCCGGCAGATTGTAAACACTTCTCAACGGTCAGGCCGTAGGCACAGAGCCGAAATAGAACAATTTTCCCCCTGAAGGGAAGAAAATTGATATTTCGGGTCTTGCCATAGGCCTGACCTAGGTAACGCCTTGCCGGCGCAAGAGTTCTGAAGGGCGAGCGGGAAATCGCTCGCCACTAGCCAGCGCGCGCATCGCTCCAAGGAGCATGGGCGTACAGAAAGGGGAGGAGGATGAAGGTAAGGGGGACTAGAGACGCACACATACTGACTCCGGAGCTGTAGATAGGGAACGTAATCTCAACGGTCAGGCCTATGGCAAGACCCGAAATATCAATTTTCTTCCCTTCAGGGGGAAAATTGTTCTATTTTGAAGTTGTTCATGGTTAATTTACTTTAGTTAGAAAAATGAATGATCTTAGAAAAGTCGCCCTGGATGGCCCTTCACGTCGTGCCAGTTTTGCAGTACTCCTGTATCATTTTCAAAACCCGCACAATTGACTTTAAACATATCATTCACATAAATAATAAAAAGAAGAGGGCCCAGCACTGTACCCTGTGGTTCACCGCATTTTTCAAACATTTGCTTACCGTGTGATTTTGCTAGACCCAATCGTTGAGGTCTTTTCAATAAGTAGCTTTGCAGTCAAGAACATACGAGCCCCTTCCCACTTCAGTTGGCCCAACTATTGAAATCTTAGTTTTTTCTTATCAAACACAAATAATAAAAATGTAGCAGGGTTTTATAGGCTTAAAATATTAACAATGAATATTTGATAATATATAGTAGAAAACACCAACTTTAACACTCCCTAATCAAATTTGCAGCATAAAAATAACACATGTTGCAATTACAGCATATCAACCTATCTTCATTTCAATGCAAAATAAGTCTATAACGCATAGGTGGCTGTGAAAAATAAAAGCCATGACAATTGTTTTTATTAATGACAGCTGTCAGAATACGTTTAAAATCGTTTTAGGTAGTTAAGCTTTTCAAAATGGGTAGAGGGAAGGTTATTAGTGAGAATTAAATTTTTTAATTCTGGGAAATCAAACTGAGAAATTGCAGTTTTGTAGACTTATCGCGGTACAGTGTGAGAAATATTGTAAGAAGATATAACGTAACTGGTTCAGTAATATCACAAATGCCGACCGAAGAGCATTAAGAAGAATAATCGTGAAAAACAGACGTGCCAATTATTTACAATTAAGTTCTCTATGGGGTGACGCTGTTGGAAGGAGAATTTTGGGGTCCACAACTCAAAGAGAGGCCCACAGACTGGGATTTAGCACTTGCAAGGTAAGTTCCCTTATAAAAAAAAGTGAAGTAAAAACCCTAAAGTTGCACAACTTGTTTATAGGCCAAAGAAAAGCCGCTATTAACTCCACTGCAAAAGAAAAATCGGCTAAGATGGGCTAAAGAACATAGACAATGGACACCTCAACAATGGTGTGCAATACAATGGAGTGATGAGGCCCGATTCGAAGTTTGTGTTGGTGACAGTCGCAGTAGAGTTATTCGCAAAAAAATGAAGCATTCCATGTTGACTGTCTGAAGAGACAAGTAAAATTTCCAGCATCCATTATGGTCTGGGACAGTATGTCATCAAAAGCAGTAGGAAAACTTCATTTTATTGATGGAAATGTGGATACAAACAAATATTTGGCAATTTTAGAAGAAGCGCTTTTACCAGCGATGGAAGAATGTTTGACATCCGGCCAAGATTTTGTGTTTCAGCGAGATGGTGCAGCGTGCCATATCTCAAAAAAGTCTATAAACTGGATGGTAGAAAATAATGTACCACTTTTGAAATCGGTTTCTGGCAGTCCAGATCTTTGTGGCACGAGGTTCTACGACAACATCCTGCTCGTACAATCGCCGAACTGAGACAAAAGCTTCAAGAAATATGGGATTGTTTTACACCAAATTTTTGTCAAAACTTGGTTAACACTATGCCCCAAAGATTTTCAGCCGTAAAGGTGATGTTACCCAATGGTAATCTTTTAATTGTTGCTTTGTTAACTTCGCGCATTTATTCGCACATTGTTTATTTGTTCAGATGATCTGTTAGTTACAGGTGATTTCAAATATGTAATTTTTACGACTAGAGTGTATCTAAGATGTTTTTGAGAAAATAAATTGTTTTAGAAGTAAATAGTTTCGTCATATTTAGTTTATAAAGGCATATTTTGGTACAAATCTTGAAGTGTGCCAACTGAAGTGGGAAGTGGCTCGTATATTTCTATAAAAACCTAATTTGTCTAGAATATCTAAGAGTTGGTTGACTGTATAAAATGCCATTTTATATCTACAAATACACAAATTGATGGAACTTTCTGATGAAACTTTTGACTGATTTGATTCACTGCATTTAGGTTACCATCTGTCGTAGGGTTTTCTGTCACAAAACCATATACTTTCGGACTTACAACACCTGATTCATAAGCTGACGGAGATCTATGTCAAACAACATGACATATAGAATAAAAGAAATAGGTAAAATTATCCTATCACTCGATGTAATAAGTAAACAAGGTTATGCAACACGTTAGCTGTATTGCTTCATATCTACTTGAGTACAATTTAATCAGCTCATGGTGATTAGAAAATCTTGTTTTAGGTGTAATAATTATAGATAAAGGTAGATAGGTATGTACAGTGTTCCACTGATGAAATATTATGAAGGTTGTATGTTGGATGTTTTTCTTTTCTTATTATTTGTAGTACCAATGTCCACATACGTCACTTTGTACGAAGTATCATACGGGTTAAATCCTTCCAGCAGTTCTGGGTTATGTTGACTTTGAGGACATCGGTGGGTTGCAGCTTTTGTCGGCAATCTCTCTGAAACTCGTTGATAACTAGACCATCCGTTAAAGCAAACACTAGTAGTAGTGAAGGCACATACTTATCCACTTTCTATCGACCCTTCCTCATATGAAGGTCAGGATATCCAATCACTCTGCTGAGTATGCAAAACAATGCTCGTATCAAGCTTGGAATGTCTCAGCTCAGACTGCGGTATACGGAACAAGAGCCCAGAAAGTGAAACGCCGTTCCGTCGTCCTCGCAGCACGGGGAGCAGATTGAATATATATTTTTACCATCAGAAGGGACAAGTGACTGTTCAATTTGTAGTGGTCGGCGGACCCCTACCAAAGAGTTGACGGACCCTCTACCACTGTATAGTTGCTAGCGTGTTCGACGGTTTGTGGGAGCTCGCTAAAAAAATCTTGGCAGGTATGCAATCATTTAACACTTTTTTCCCATTGGTCAGACGTTGACCTGGCACCTGCTTATACTTATCCTAGGCTTGGGAAAGCTCTCTCAGATCGTGGTTGTTTGGACGCCATGCTTAAAAGTGGTCGCGAAGTTGTAAGAAGTTAATTTACCGTATTGATGTAACCAGTGGGCCAATTTGAGCTCTTGAAAGATTGTTTTACTCCTTTCTGAGAATAAACAGACTTTATAATTACACATATTCTAAATAATCCAGAAGTTACTTCTTGAGTTACTCAGTGTACTATAAGATTCTTAGCAGGTTCTGCTGTTATTCAAATTATATCACATTGAATTAAAGAATGGTCCACTTTTTGTAGAGTAAAAATCAAGTTTGACTATTTAAAAATATTGTATTCACAAATGCAAAATAGTTTTCGCTAATCTCACCGGGAGTGTTTGAAGTAGCAGTGTAAATCTCTCGAAGCCCAGGATCGGCCACTAAGGTCATTTGTGCCTTTAGTTTAAATGCGAGGTATAACTAAGCACCTATAGGCGTATATAAAAAACATCACGTATATATTCATATATGTCTGATAATGCCCTTCATACCAACTAGGGGCACATATACCTGTAAGTCCACACGTGACCTTAGTGGCTGCTTCTAGACTACCACTCTACTTTTCTTAATGTCACCTAACTGCTGATTACCATACCTGACAGCCTTGCGACCTGGTACTATGACACAAGAGCTGAGCTTGTTGTGGGAAGGGCAAGTATGTGTAGTCTTTCAAAAAAGCCTTATTACATTACAGGTAAATGAGGCAGCAACCTTTACGCCTTCATTTGCGAACACAGGTTCCAAAGTTGTTAAGTCGGCTCGAAGCATCCTCAGCGGTATTCTCAACAAATCCTTCTAGGCATTTCTCACTGTCTTTGATTAGGCTCACAACTGTATCTCTAATTTTGAGAAATCCATCAATGAAAATTTTTTGTACCTATAAGTTGAGCGTCTACCAGACACTGGTTTGCAATCTGCAGGAGAAAAATTTATATCCGTTCATGTTATTTACAAGCAATTGTACAAGCACCAGTATAAAGTATACGAGGGCGGTTCAATAAGTGGTAGAAATGAAGACACCATTTTTTCCAAAAAGTTTCATTATATTTTTCAACATAATCCCCTTTTAGGAAAATACACTTTTTCCAACAATCCTGCCATATCCTTAACCCTCTTAAAAAATAGGATTTGTCGAACTCTCCGAAATACGCTTGTCTCGGCGATGACTTCCTCGTTTGAGCTAAATATTTTCCCCACGAGCAGTTTCCTCATGTCAGGGAACAAGGAAAAGTCGCATGGAGCCAGATCGGGTGAATACGGGGGGGAGGGTTTCATAGCCAACTTGTCATGTAATATATTGATTGCCATTCCGGTAGGCTAGGCACAGCTACGGCCTCTGCTACTTCGCGCACTTTTGCTTGTCGATCAGCGAAACTCATGTCGTGGACTTTTTTAATGATTTCCT